CTGCAATGGGTGCGGCCATCTCGGTCACAACGGCGAATCTCACGATGGAGGCAATCGAGCAAAAAGCGCTGAGGTCTTTTCCCAACAGCCCCAAAGTATTCATGCGCTATGTAGACGATTGCTTCTGCATTCTCAAGGAACGGGACGTGAATAATTTTTTGGCGCACCTCAACTCTATCGAGCCGGCCATTAAATTTACCGTAGAATATGAGACGGATGGCACCTTGCCGTTCCTTGATGTGCTGGTGAAGCGACGAGGACAAGATCTGACGTTTGCGGTGTACCGAAAACCAACACACACCGGACGCTACCTCGATTTTGTCTCCAACCATCCAACGAGTCATAAGGCCTCAGTGGTTTCGACCCTGCTGCGTAGGGCAACGACTATCTGCTCGTCGGAAACCGATAGAAAGAAGGAGAAGAAAACCATAATTGAAGACCTAAAGAAAAATGGTTACTCTAGCAGCTTTATTGAGCGCATCGCCCGACGGCAAGGTCTCGCCAGACAAAACCAGATGCCAGTGGACGACCGACAGCCCCATCGAGTCGCGCGCATAAGCGTTCCCTACGTAAAGGGAACCAGCGAAGCGCTCGCACGAGTACTGGGAAAGCAAGGTATTCTGGTGGCCCACAAGCCCACGTCCACACTGGGAAGGTTTATGCCAAGACCGAAAGACCGTCCACCAAAGGAAAAAGCACAGGGCGTGGTTTACACCATTCCTTGCGCAGAGTGCCCTGCAACCTACATCGGCGAGACGAAGAACTTTCCCGAGCGTATCCGCCAACACAAGAACGACGTGCGGAAGTTTGACAGTGAGCGCAGCGCCATCGCCGAACATTGCGATACCCTAGACCATCGCATTGACTTCGCGAACGCGCACGTGGTGGACACAGAGCCCAATTTTCGAAGAAGACTTTTCTTGGAATCGTGGCACATCCAGCACACCCCAGGAAACCTAAACAGGTCGCTGGGCGCTTTGCCCTCTGTGTACGCACATGGCCTCCGTGACCTGACGGAAAAGCTGAAGAGATGACCATCTTCATAACTAACAAGTTATTTTACAATTTTTCCGATTTCCTAACTTCTCGTTTTTAATTTTTCCTTTCTCTTTTTCTTTTCTTCCCTTTTTTGAAGACGAAGAGGTTGGGAGCTGCTGCTGTGTCCGCGCGCCTTCAGTCACCCCTGAAGAAGAAACCGTGTTGGTTTTGAAACGTCGGGTTGCTTTTCATTTTTTGGTTGGAGATATATTTTCAGACTTTAATGTCTAAGTGGCTCGTGATTGGATCTGGCGGTTCGTAACTTCTGCCCTTAGTCCATCGTAGGGGGAGATGAAGTATAGCAGAGGGCGCGTACAGGGAAGCCTCGACCGCTTTCTGCAGGCTCGGTAGCCATGTGCCCGTGACAACCCATGTTATCTCTTTTTTCACGTTATTTGTCTGAGTTCATATATAACGAAGAAGCAGATACAGCGAATATAGTGAAGCGATTTCCGATTCCCGTTGACTTCGCTATAGCCGGTCTCGACAGTAGTATATCTGATTGCATTCAAGATCCGGATGGTCGATTATGTCTCTTGTTAATACCCCCGCCGATCGGCAGCGAAATAAGCACTGTTCCTCAGTATTTACACGTCATACATATCTGAGAGACCACGCCGAACTCGGAAGTCGGATCGACCGCTTCAGATCACGGCTACCGCATACTCGCTTGGACCAACAACAACGAACAACGCATCCGACATGCTCCGCCCCAGCTGGCTGGAGCACAGACTGGGCGCTGCCATCTTGCTGTGACCGTGATGTTACATATTTGGTTGTGTCACGGGACGAATAGTCACATTTGAGTACTATGGCGGCGGGTTAGGGGGCGGGGGCTCTACCCTGTTGGCTTAACATAACATTACGTTTTGGCCCTTAAAATGTCATTAAATACAAACAAACGCCATTCCGAGGCCGACAATGTAGCCACGTAAATTATCCCAAAATTTGAACAGTCGATTTCAATGTGTTCTAAACAGAACATGACCCTCTTTCCTAAACAAACTTTCACTCGTTATTTCACCGGCATGTGCAGTCACTGTTCCTCACATTCGCGCGTCTAGGGCCGCTAAACTCGTCAAGCACAACTTTGTGCCCGAAGTTTGCGGAACGCGCTAATTGTACTCTCGCGACGCTGACGTCGCCCCGAGCGAGGTGTCAATCATTCGAACGCTCATTTCTTTGAGAGAGGCAGAACGGTAGCAAAATTCATCGAGGCGCGCGTGCGGCGCGTGAGGGGCACGAGGAGCCCGCTGATTGAAACGCTTCGCCGATGACGTAGCACCCATTTGTCCCTACATCTCTACGCCAAGCTAAAATTAATGCTTTGCAGATTGTCCCCAGGCGACCTGCTGACGCTCAAAATCCCTCCGAAGTTTGTGTAAAAAAGAAACCTCGTTTGTCGAAGTCGTCGCTGACGTCAAAGTGACGTTTCCAAACTTTGCGTGAGCCGTTGTTTGAGCTCAAGATCTTCGCTTCGGATCGAGGCGAAGTTCAACTTTGTCAACATGGCGGTGCCGCACGCTGCGGCCGAGCTTATCTTCCGCCACCGTCGGCGTCGCTACTGAGACCACCGGGGACGCCTTTCAGCTCCCGACGACGACTTTCGGCGGCAGTACTGGCTATCGAAAGCCGTTGTGCGTTGACTCTGCGACGAGCTTCGTTCGGCGCCCGGACTTTGAGGCGGCGGACAATCGCTTCTACCATGACCGTGGAACAACAAGATCTCTGCGCGCTCCGGTTCTTCGGAACCGGTAGCTTTCAAACATGGTGGCGACTGACGAACACCTGTGAGTCTCCCACATGACTATGAGCCGGGCTGTCAGAGCTTTTGCGGCAGCCATCGTTTTTTTTTTTTTTTCTGTAATATTCTAAGAGGTACTAATAAGGTGGTATACAATTCAGAGTGATGGGAAACAAACAAGAACCGGGGCAATTCTTGGGTAGGGTCGAGTCTTCCGGCAGCCGGCAGAATTATTTCCCCGAAATTCTACTAGCAGTCGTCACTCAATGGCGGTCAAATCAGTTCATCGAACGACGTGCCATCGACGGATCGTTTCATCGGCACGCGATGTAATCACATAAAAGAGATTTTCTTCCGTTAGCGTGCCGTTCAGTCGCTGAGCGTGCCATTTATTTAGCAACCGAAGCACGCGACGTGGGTAAAGTCAATGGTGCTCCGGCCGATTTCTTTTTTTAAATCGATGTTCAAACGCTTGACGAATGCCTATTTGATCTCCAAGAACCCGACATAATCATCGCAGCACGTCATAAAATGCTCGCCCTCGAGCACCGCGTACACACTTCCAATTTTTGCGTGTTTCTCTTTTAGACTTGCGTGTATGGCCTCATGGTGTAATAAGCGAAAACAACAAGGAAGAAAACGAAGGGAGAACTAGACAGGACGCGGCGTATTGCCTGTCGTCAAGCAATGGCCGCCGGTGAGGCCAGTGACGTCACAGGTTTCTTCTGTGGGAGCTTTATCGAAAAATGTTCCACTTTTCACCTATACACAAATGATGCTAGATCTCGCGGCCTCTGTGGTTGTCCTTGGCCTTTCATTACACACTGGTAGGTTTCAACGTCTGTACGGCTACAGAACGACTCAAATTTTGCAAATAAAACACGGGCTGTCGATTCCTCCCTTCATGAAATATCAGACGCTTACAATTCAAGCTCGCGTTTGAGCTTGTGGCCCGCGGGACGTATTTTCGAGCAGAAAACCAGCTTTTCCTTTCAGTTCCGCTGTGCGAATGCCGCATCGTAGCAGACGAACTCTCGTCGTCTGCTCTCGCTCCTTGCCTGGGCGAGGCATGACGGGATTGTCGGCACTAGAGAGCTCAAAGACAACGTACAGCGAGCGGCGTGAACGCTCGCCTCCCCGCACTGTCTCGTGCTCTCGTGCACCGCCTAGGGATCGCGGGGGATTTTTCGTCAAAAGTTGCGAAGTTGAGCGCGCGCAGGGAGGAGGAAGCTTTGCGGCGTTCTTTTGGTCACTCCCCCCGTTACGTCAAAAAGCGAGGAATGTCTTGCTCCACGAGTTTAGATACCCTGGTAGGCAAGTCGAAGATCGCGTGCTATACGCGGACAAGATTATTTTTCTTGAATTTTCGTCGGAGCACAACTAGACCTATTGTTAAATTACCCAAGTATCAAGGGTTATGTAGGGAATGCTGTTCCACGCGCCGCACATGCCGGTGTCCGCAGCAGTAACTGTCCTAAAGCGAAGGCCTAAAACAATAGACATCGTCCACGCGCGTTACTCAACCTCTAAGCTTGGTTATTAACATCGAACCCTTTAATAAGGGGAAGGCGAGCGCCTGTCGCCTGTAGATCTACATTCCCAGAATTCCTTAATGCTTGGGCAATTTCGAAATAAATCGATTCGCCCCCGGTGCGCAAAAAAAAAAAAAAAAGAAATATTCGCCCTGCATTTTTATTAAAAGACAGACGTATGATTAACAAAAAAGGGAATAAAAGTTATAGTCTTCATTTATGGTGGAAATATCGCCGCGAATATTACATTTCTGGCTCTGCATACACTCATGTGCCCATATACTCAATATGCGAATTAGTAAAATTAAAATCCAATATTTCTACATTATCTCTACGATTTTCTTGAATACACTGCTATATATTGATTGTGTCATAATATTTCTTTAATGTTCACTATTTCGGTCCTTAAAACAACGTAAGTTAGAACACGTTATAAATGGAAATTATTTTATCTTTAAAAACTAATAGCTATCACGTTATGTGTCATTTTACGCAACATATGTTATATCGTGAAAAGTGGCACAAAGCTTGGTGAAAATGAAGTTGACAAATGCTTAGATTGAAAGCAGTAAAAAGACAAATAAAGAACACTGTCACGAAGACAATTGCATTCAAAAGCAATGCATAGTATAAGTTCTACGCTGACCTCGCTCGTTTGCTGAGCTTCTCTCTTTCTCACGTTCCAGTATTTTGCGCTGAATGGACCCGAGGGACACTTGGCGGCCGACGGCCAGTACAGCTGGGGCCTCGTTGAGGGCGCTTCGATAGTCAACGGATCAGATTTCCAGGACTCCAACTTGTGCCCCTTTTATAAACAACCTGTGACTAAGCCAGGTGCTGAATAAGAATGTGAACGTAGAAATAAAAACACAAGCTGCCGATTCAGATCCTGTCCCCGTCGTACAATAGTGCTAAAAGAGAATTGCATGGTGAATTATTGACAACCAATGAGCTCCGTTACATCCAGGATTCCTTAATCTTGAGTTTGTTTCTCGTGAAATTTGGAGGGTGATTTTTCGCAGTTTATTCTTCGCTAAAAAATCGGGGTATATATCGGAGTTTCTTTTTTTCTAAATTGTCAATATTTTGGAATTCGGAGTTTATTTTACTGCGTTCCCTTTTTTAATTAAAAAAAACTATAAATGATGGTTGGGGATTATGACCTGTTGTCCTGAAGGAACCTTGACGAGCCTTTCGTCAGTAGTTCAAGATCTTAACGTAAGCTTAAGTGGAATCTCCTCAAAACCACTGACCCTGCAGCTCCTTATGAAGTTTATTTGTAAAACAATGACGCTTTTGTTTTTTATTCACTCGTTATTTCCTGGAAATTCAGAGTTATTCGGATAAATTTAAACTACCCCAAATAACGTAGCCGCAAAAGTTCTATTTTTTTTACTTTTTTTTGTTGATATTTTTTAGTTCCAGCCCATGTCATAATGCCCTCAAGAAAGATTTTTGTGCAATAAATCTTGAAATCTTCTCCGTGGTTTCAATGCCTAAAGAGAAACGGTAACTAGAAACCGCAAAGCGGAAACACAGGAAGCGTGCCCAGCTGGCCGGCGGTAAGTTTCACACCATCAAAGTCTTAAAAGGGCATGTTTTTAGCGCTCACAAGCTGCGTAAATTTTCGCTCGCTTGTTCGGCAACCGCCCGTGAGGTCGCTCCAGTGAGGTCAGGCCAGTGATTGCGTTGGTCGCTTCAGTTTAAATAAATATTCTGCAAACTTTGCGGAAAAGTTGTGTGTGGACTCGTTAAGATTTATTATAAAGTTAATGTCCTCAAAAATGAATTGTGTCTTTTTTTAACAATACAAAACATAAGAAACGATGTAGATCAAACGAAAATATTTTTAAAGTTTGTCTTGATTGCGATGGATAGCAACCCCGGTCGATTTGTAATACGCAACAAATCTTTCAGAGTGCAAACGACCCGGAATTTTCTCTTAATTTTTATATTCAAAACGTCTATCACAGCCTATCCATAGGAATATTAACGTTGGTTGCATCGAAGCTCCTTTTTTCGATTATCTATAATTATTTACTGTGTCTAAACATAAAATAACCTCATAGGAATATTAACGTTGGTTGAATCGAAGCTCCTTTTTCGATTATCTATAATTATTTACTGTGTCTAAACATAAAATAACCTCATAAGATGTCCGAGAAGCTAAGGAAGGTAGCCCATTGATTTGACATACCGTAGTTCTTTCAGCACCAAACAAACTTGCTTCGCTGTGTAAAAAGAGCAGATCGGCAGAGGAATTGGCTGTGCCGCAAGACACCAGCAAAAAAACGACATGTCACAAAGTTCAGCGAATGTGCCACTAGCGTCACGTACGAAATTGCCCTGTCACGTGATAAGGTGTACGTTGGCCAGCCGTGAATAGGTGCATAAATAATAGGGTCAGAGAGCATACGTTTGCGATCAGGCAGTCCCCGTCTGGCCACCTAGCGGTCCACTGTGACCGTTGCGATTGCGAGTCTAGCTCTGAGAAATGCAGCCCTATCTTTGGCAAGGCGTGTGTCATGGGCCATTACAAAACAAAAACGTTCAAAGAAATTCATGAAGCCTTCCTGATAAAGTCCCACAACTACAACTCTTGCATAAGCGTACCGTCTTTTTATAGGCAACCTGCAATGCTGTTTGGTTTGGCGCCATCTAGCGACTGAAGCAAGAAATACTGGGTATCCCAGGAAGCCGTGATCGCGTAACGTGCCAGTAGAGCAGAAGCTACAGCCCTGGCGGGCCAATTGGAACGTGACTGCGTATCAGCGGAGCGCGCCTCAACTCCGAAGAAGTATTAGGCTTTTCGCTGCGTCATGCTCCAATATGTGTGCGTTGCGCTCGTATATGTCGCGCATTTCAAAGCCTTCGGCACGCAATGTGGGGCTTATCGTTCACCCTTTGCCAAGTTACAACGAGACAGGGTATAACCGTGCGCTCTCACCCTGCTGGCGCCGCCTGACCGTTGCCGGCTGGCTATTGTCCGAAAAAGAATTCTACTATCTGGAGAACAATGACGCTGGTGGCTGAAGGGGTGCGTTTTTGGCCCCATCTTTGGGTTTCGCCAAGTGCGCCGGCTTTTATAATTTTTATATCTTTAAATATATATCTTCCAAGTGAACCATTCAGCTGAAAGTAACGCCGCGCCCTGTCCAGTTCTCCCTTCGTTTTCGTCCGTGTTATTTGGCGTATTACACCATGATAAAATAATTCGCTCTGGAATGCCAATCGTGATAACCTCCTGAGGTAGCTTTTTGTAAATTCGCGAAAGAGAAAGTTCTTTCGAGTAGACATTTGACGCCCAAGTACAGTGGCCTAATTTTTTTATAATATCACGAATGCATGGATTGGCAAGCCAGTTAGGGCCGTATGACGCGGCACTGCGGCGTTATTACAGAAAGTCATCGCAACTTTGCGTCCACGCAATCACTCTCGCTGATAACGAAGCAGGGCTCCGCGATGCGGCGCTGATTGGCCCCCGGTCGACGCTCCCGTGATATTTAAAATATGGGTCCATTGCGGGCGTTTACGTCCCTGCAAGGGTTAAGAACCGACAAATGAGCGAAGGTTAACTTAAATTTCACTTATTTCGTGTTATATTTGAGGGCCCAGAACTCTATTACCTCTGCCAGATGGAAAGGTCAATGGGATTTTCGAATAGGGGGCCCCAAGGCTTTGGATCCCCCAAGCTGCTTAGGGTGTCGAGTTTTGTCGCATAAAATATTTTCATCGGGGAATCAGGTAGTGATCTTTACTACGTGAGGGTCGCGCGTGAGCAGCGCTGCAACAGGAGCAGCCCGCGGCGATTAACCGATCACAAAAAGAATTTTGTTTTCTATTCTAGAACATCACTCGCGAAATCTAGGGAAAAAGCTGTATTCAAACTTAACGGGGCACCTTGCTCTCTTTTAGTTCCAAATGGCACGTATAACATCAAATTATACATAGCAACAGCACTGAAATTCAAAAGAGCCCATGATTCAAAATAACGCGATTTTTGCTCATTCATTTGTTCTTCTCTATTCAACTCGTAAGGCTAATCTTCCGGTGTGATTAAAGTGAGTTCTTTGTCATTGTATAGGAGAGCATTCAGAGTAGTAGGGAGTGTGAATATAAGTGATATCATAGAGTAATTATTTAGACAAAGTGGCACAGTCCATAGTTCCGTCGGTGCCTCTGTGCCTTCCTAACATAGTTCTCTCATCAAAGGAGGGTCGGCACTTGCAAGTTCCACAGTGCACCGACTGATGGCCGCCGACCGTGGTTCTCAGGGAATAGTTGTGATTCCTGAGCATGTTGTTCAAGCACCTACCGGTTTGTCCAAGATACGAGAAGACCCTGCCGCGAGAGAGGGGTGTCCTGTATTATGGTGGCTATAAGGTGGGGTGTGCCGAAGAGAAAATTGATAGCATGCCACTTGTTCATGACGCCGAGGGCACCGGCGTTATGCCTGCGCTTGGTGCCATCGGGCCGCTCACAGTGTCATCACGCGTGGAAGTGCGTCCTGCATGAGCACATGGAGTACGACCCGCGTGCTCGCGCACAACACTTGAGACGCGTCACACCGCGCCTCTTCAAGCAGAAATGCACCGGTACCCACTTATCCACTTAAGCGCCACTTATTCGTCATGAAGCGCCGGCATGTGGAACTAAAGAAAAATGGGATGGACGGGCGAATGATGTAGGTGGAGGACCTTTCCCTCATCTTCCACTTGACAAGAGGGGCTCTCGAGTTTCCGCAATCATGCACTGTGGCAATAATCATCGTCTCTAAACTAGTGGTTGAGAAACTTTCAGCTCTTGAAAATGTTGGTGCATTCTTGAAACGCGGAAAGCAGCACTCCTTGATAGTGTTTATTGCGTTCTCACTGCTCAAAAAAGACCTTGACTTCAGCCCCTGCTCGATGGGCCGCAGCGTTTTACTGCTCGTGAAGCAAGTGGGGAGCGTAGCGACTAATACTCTACTGAGAAACTGCTGTGGTGAGATCAACGACGGAATTAAGCAGAAGGCACAGCAAGTTCAGGAGTCACAAAAAACAAAAACCCTGGACAAGAAATAGTACAGCAATCAAAAGGTGTGAACTGTAAGTCTTCACCTAAAACACAAAAATATTAAAAAAAAACATTGAAGGCAGAAGGTGGACTGCTGAAAAAAATAAAACAGCTGTTCAGTATCTTTGCTTTATTTATTTTGGTAATAAATTTAACACACTTACATTTCTTAGCATGACTAGACTTTTTCTCCTTCGCTTGAACGCAGTAAGCTTGAAAGATTCTTCAAAATGAATTCAAAAATAACGCAACCCCCTGTTGCAGGCAATCGCCTGTTGCACTACAGATCTACCTGTAACATTCATCCGCGTCAACAAGATAATACCGAAAGTTTCAATCGAACCTAGCTAGTCATCAACGTGAAAGAAACCGTAGGTAACTGATGGGTCAGAACGACGGTTCCGCTCATTTAGTAGTAATAGTTTGAACTTCTCAAGTACGAAGTCTTTACAAGCTGCGGCCTACCAATCCAGCCATTCCGAAATCGACAAAGCTTACCTACGCAAGAAAAGGCTCGTCACAGCACGCAGGCATGTTGTGAATCGCAAAATTACGCCAGATTAAATTATCAGCAAGGAAAACGACAAACCTAGATCTAGTAAAACACCAAACGCAATGAGGCCGGACGAAGATAACAAGTAGAGTTTCCAACTCATCTTGGGTACTGATCACCAACTTCTCGTTAAACAAATATCCGGAGGCTTGTTTCCCACGCTCATGACAGCACACACCACCACACACGGACCACTCCTGGTACGGTCAGAAACAGTCTAAAACGGAAACAAATTCT